TTCAATACAATATAAAAAAAAGAAGAACAAGAAAAGAAGGAATAACCATTCACATAGATTCTTATAACTAAACATTCAATAAAACATCACGTCTGTTTTGTCTTTTTTTATTGTTCGAATTAACCCAATGAACCGCACAAACAAAAGTATATCATCTTTCTCTCTTTTCTATTTTACATCTTAAGTGATTTATCCAATAAACTTTCTATTTTATAAAAAGGTGAAAAGTAATATCTACTTCATTCTATCAATGTTATTATGATGAGTATTGTTTAACTAATTACAAAGTTCACATGGGTGATTATGCCAAAATACAAAAAAAAAAATCTACGTGAATATTCTTTTCATCTTTTGTTATATATAAAAAATATATAAATAAATTGACCAGTTGATATGCTGAAATTTATGCCAAATATTGATCAATGATTATTGTTTTATTTACCTGGTGATGGTGATAGTAGTGGTGTTGGGGGGGGGGTGATGGTGAGGCCTGATTGAATAACTGGGCTTAATGGTATATTAAATGAGATAAAACTGTGATAAATAAAAAAATGAAAAATGAGAATACAAACAAACAAAAAATATGAAATAGATTATTAACTGTTGAAGAATAACTTTCATTTTTATTCCAGTCAAACTAATCAATAAAGTAGTCATCCTTTTAAACACAGATATAAATTATAAGTGAATGATAAACCTACTGATAGCACAAATAGTTGACTTTCTCTCTACAATCGAAAGTATTCACAATGGGGAGTAGTGATCCAGTGATTAAGGGATTCGATTCACCATTCAACAACTAAGTCACAGGTTTCAACACACGATCCATTTACTTTACTTTGACCGACCAATTAGTATCACTAGCTTCATCACACCTAGAGTCTGATTCATATCTCAAGTAGCTTGTGAATCAGTTAATTTATTTTTACAAATGTTAATATGTAATACAACCGGTTAGTAGAATAAATGTTCAAGTATTGAAGAGAGTTGGACTCAAATTTCCAGTTAAATATCAACTTCCATCAATTTGTTTTCTTTTAAAACATCTATGTATACTTTTGACCCTTATAAGCTATTTTGATGGCCTGCTTGAATATCTGATTTACCTGTTCCTTACCATCTGGATATTTCAACATGTTTTAATTTTTTTCGTCTTAACACATCATTATGTCGATTAATTGCATAATCTATTCAAGTGCGTTTTTTGTGAAAAGTTTAGGGCCTTTCACTATACAAATTACAAAAACTTACAATCGGATACAAGGATAAAATGAGTGAAAACTCACTTAAATCAAAAACTAGAAAGAAAATCTTATTTTAATTCAAAATCATATGCCCATTGATGACTGGATTCATGAGGGAATTCTCCGAACTCTGGTAAGAAGCCGTGACCAGTGAAGCTAATTCATGTCAGGTAGAGACAGGTATCTACCTCAGACAATCGAAGATGACCGCATAATTTCGTGGATTGGTTGAAGTTAGTTACTAACACCATTGAATGCCAGCTCAGTGCTTAAACTTTTGCTCACGAGACGGAAGACCATGAGTCCGAATCCCGCTAGCGGGACTGTGGATGCGCACTGCTGAAGAGTCCCACAAAGGGAAGAAATGGCCGTCCAGTGCTTCCAGGTTTTCAACGGCGGTCTAACATCAATCGGTTCATGATCTCAATCGAAAAATATTTTTTTCTGTCAATAAATTAGAATCCTAATAATTATGGACATAAGATCAACTAAATAGGTACAGTTTGAGAATGCATTTTCATAAACAACAGATTACATGTCGACATCACCTGAAAAACTAATTAGGTTTAAGATCATATAACTATTTTAATTATTGACTAGATTTAATAGGATAGTGATTGTTTTACGAAATCGATTTCAAGACGAAATTGATCAATCATCGTCAATTATAATCAATATAAAACATTGTATTTGTGTATATCATCCCAAGTTGCTACATCACCCTATCAACATAGTCAGATAAAATCATAGTAACAGAAGTAACATCAATACCAGTAAAAAGAATTAGGTATAGACAATACAATTCGATGTTAACGAGTGAATTTGGAAAGTTCAAGGTGAAAAGTGAAGATCTAAGGGAGGTTTAAGAGTGAATACAACAATTGTAGTCAATTATGAACCACATCATTCAATGTCAGCAACCATTGATTATAATAAATAAAAAATTCTCAACAAGACAGTCTAAAACTATTAACATGACTTCAATGAAACATTTTTGTTAGTATACAAATTCATCAAACAGATATGATTTGATTTTTCCTTTGTAGTTAACAATAGAATGTAAAATGATCGTCTTCTTTTATTGCAAACATTGTAACCGGATAAAATAGCATTGGATTGTCAGTATTTACACGGAGATTTGATCCTAGTAAACTATCAATTCACATACATCAGTAATTTATTGTTTCATTCATTAATATTGTAGTGAACAAGAACATCAATAGGAACAACCGAATGTATCCGAGTACAAAATTACAGAATCTCTCAGAACCATACAGTAAATACTTCGTTTGTAAAATGTCAATTAATCGTCTCATACTTTACTGTTCCTTCATTTCTGTGTCAATCATTATATGATCTTGTTCTCCTTTCTTTGATTTTCTCAACCTTATGAATCCAGGTTCTCCATTTCCCATTGGTGATGCATACTGCTTATATCTGTCGATATCAGTAGCACACATCATCATAGTAGTGTAAAATTATAAGTATAGAGGATTTGTAGAGATAGTTGAGTTTTATACTAACTCGTCAATATACGGATTTGTCAAATGATTACATCATTCGTTTACCTACTGATACTGTAGTGAACAAGAATACATAGTTGGGTTCAATCGGATATAATCGAACACAAAATTACACCACATCTTAGTAAAATCTGAGAAGTATATAGTAAATCCTTCATTTGTAAAATAACCATCAAATATCTCATACTTTACTGTTCCTTCATCCCTATAACAATTACTTTCTGTCCTTGTTCTCTTTTCTTCGATTTTCTCAACCTTCTGCCTTCAAGTACTCTACTTCCGATTGGTGATGCATACTACTTATATCTGTCAATATCAGTAACATACACAACAATATGTATACATATATAGATTACAGTAAAATAAACAACTTAATTAATATTAATGAAGTAATAGGACGTTCTGTTTTTTTTTTTTTGTATTTAAGAAAAAAATTACTTTCCACCTCAATAAGATAATCATAATTGTTGGCATTAATTATCATATGAATAAATAAAATGTTCATGCTTAAATAAACATCAATTTGAATTGGTCATAGTAAAGTTAAAGTTCCCTCTTACTCTCCCTTTCACTCTTACTCGCTTTTTCTCTCTCACTTTCACTCTATACTTCATTAATAATGCTTTTAGTTTTAATCATAAATTTTAATTGGAATAATTTGTCATATGATAACATCGTTGTAATTAAGAGATTTTAGTATTTAGATGAACTCTACTACTTCTTTGGAGGAGAGAAAAGGAGGGTGATAGAAAAAAAATCTGAGATCAATTAAATGTAGGTCCTGAGTTCGAATCTTTCAGGTGAAATGATGGATGCCTATTTCTGAGGAGTCCCATACTAGGACGAGACGGCCGTCTAGCTATAATTGACTCATGAATTCACTAGTGACTGACTTCAAGAGATACTCCTAGAGTTCTAGTGAGAAGCCGTGACCAGTGGAGTTCAACCAGGTCTGTTGTGAGATATCAGCTCACTGAAGACAATGGTGACGGTGGCGCAACTTCGTGGATTGGTTGAAGTTAGACATTAACACCGTTTGGTGCGGCTCAGTGGTCTAGTTGGTTAGGCGCCTGGCGCGAAACTAATGGGTCCTGGGTTCAGATCCCGCGAGGGGCGGGATCGTGGATGCGCACTGCAGAGGAGTCCCGTGCTAGGACGAAACGGCCGTCCAGTGCTTCCAGGTTTTCCATGGTGGTCTAGCTTCAATTGATTCATGATTTCAACTATTGAAATCACCGATTCTCCATAAAACCCATTCTAGTATTAATTACTAATCAATTTGAATTAATCAATAGAAAACCGTAGAATAAGATTGCATGCTAGTTAATCCTGATTAGAAAGGTGTACCTGTATCTAATTCTTAGAATAACAAATACTGATCCATGTGAAATTTGAATCGATTTCAGTTATTTACAGTTATCACTAAGCTGTTCGGATCAAGACAGGTCTTGTAAAAGGCTGCGATACTTTCATTAATTTATCATTGATTACTCACTAATCAATGATAATCGGTTGTTTTCAGTGTACTTACTCTAGCAAACATTATGTTTCAACGTAAATAGTAGTATTTGGTTGTACTTAACATATCATCAAACGGCATCACGAGGCAAGTCCTAACGTGGAAGCATTAAAGAAAGTAGGAAAACGGAAGGCATAAGGACCTATTACGTCAGGAAATAGAAGCAGATATGAAAAGAATGAATAACAACTGGAAAGAGCTGGGAAGTATTGCTCAGAACAGGGTTGGATAGAGAGTGCTGGTGGGAGACCTATGCTCCTGCACGAGGAGTAACAGGCGTAAGTAAGTAAGCAACATATATTCTCAAACATATCAATTAATGAAAACAAAATATCAATGATATCTATTAACACGATGAGACTATAATTTATGGACGACCTTTGAGTAACGCGCAAGAGTGACCTTGATAGTGTCCACCTAATAAATAAGATTAAATGAGGATTATAAACCTAAGTGTAGAATTAAAATTATGATTTGCATTAGATGGTTAAGATTAGGCATTAGATTTAGGGTTTTCATTACGAACTAACATCAGCTATAATGTCAAAACTCAATATATAGCCAAATGGATAGAATGAATATCACATCAAAAACCGGAGTCCTATTACCTTATACCTGATTGGTTTATCCATAAATTATAGTCCCGCCCACTTTTTTTAATAATGATTTCTAGAAATGCACGTCTTCGAAAACAAAAAAGTATTTTTTTTATTTAGTTGATCTTATCTCATTAGACAAATAAATGGATTACAAGCGTAATTTTCAAAATCTAAATGAAGTATTTTCTTTTTCTGTTGTTTTAGTTCTATTCATTATTATACTTACCTACCGGCATATCTACGTGTATATGCACAGTAACTAAGAAAAAATGCATAACTTAAAATGAAAAAAGTCCCCGCCGAAACATAAAAGCAAATTTTTCGTCAAGTTTTTTAAAAACTGTAAAAATTTTATTTGTAAATGATCAGTGAGAGTATTTGCGTAGATTGTATTACTTTTCTAATGAAAAAATTACAGGTAGGTAATTGCTTCCCAAGTTTTCAATGGTTGTCTACTTTAGATCGATTAATGATTTGAAATGTGAAAATCTATTCTATCAGCAAGGTGATTTTCTATCATATATTTTAAACTACTAATAAGTAGTTAAAATTGTATAAACAGTTTTTTGAGGGCATTATGACGATTTATTTGAGGTGATGGTAAGCGGATTCATTAATAATCAAGAATGAAGAGTATTTGAAAAGCGATACATAAAGAAGTAACATGAGACACTTAATTTTTTTATTTATTCTGGGAAAAGCACAAATTTCTTCGAAAATCAAGGATAGTACTTCCAATGGAATATAGACCGCCGACCAGCATTCTCCAACTCACTCTGTCCTGAACCTTCATTTCTAGTTCTATCCAATTGTTGTTCATTCTTCTCATGTCTGTCTCTATTTCTCGGCGTAATATCTGCTTTATTCTTCCTCTTCTCCTTCGGCTTTGAGTGTTTCAAGTGAGGGCTTGCCTTGTGATGGAGTTGGATGGTTTCCTCAATGTGTGTCCTATCCACTTCAAGAGCTTCTTTCTGATTTCTTCCTCAGCTGGGATGTGGTTTGTTCTCTCCCACAGTAGGTTGTTGCTGATAGTATCTGGCCAACCGATCAGGCACCCCGTAGTGTCGAAGAAGCTCCCATAGTGTTCTCTTCTCCATACTATCAAATGCTTTCTCGTAGTCAATAAAGTTGATATAGAGCGATGAATTCTATTCAATTGATTGTTCCACAATGATCCGTAGTGTTGCGATTGCGTCTGAACATGATCGATCCTTACGGAATCCAAACTGTTGGTCACGAAGTTGGGTATCTACGGAGTCTTTCATTCTCTTTCACAACACCCTATTGAAGACTTTTCCTGGTATTGAGAGAAGAGTGAAAATTAGAGTATTAAACAACCATTTAATTATGTATTCGATCTCTTGTGAGTGTGTGCACTAGTGAGCAGTCCTCATACCAAAACAAAATATCTAGCTAGTAATTGCTAGTTTTCAATAGTACACTAATTGAAATTAGTTTATGATGAAAACTATCTTAAAAGAAAAGATTCTTAATGAAAATTTCAATACAATTTTAGTGAAAATAACAGATTTGATTGTAATGTCAAAGCAAAGTATACAGTTCTGTCAACAACAACAACAACGAAATACCAAAAGCCTATTCACCATTATTTGAATAATGATTGAATCAAAAAAGCACTTGATACAAACAAATAAGCGATAGAAAGTTTTTAGTAGATCACTACTTATGATCGGTTGATGAAGAAAATTTAACAAAATCCTTAAAGTTAGTTTACTTTTAAAGGATATTAAGTATTCTCCAAGGTTTCAATATACATTAAATACAGTTCTGTCCGAAAAATGATTAGAAAAAAAGGTTTGGAATTATCAACAAGCACACAGACATGATCAAAAAAGTGGCAGGTTTGAAGCGGTTACGAGTTCACTTAGACTGCGAACGAAACAAACACTTGTGACCGAAAACCAATAAACTAGTCTCAACCCCGCTAGTTAGAGAGAGAAGTCGAAGTCCGAACGAAGAAGTATATTCCGCAAAAATCCAGAAGCACGAACGATAACAACAGATACAAATCAAAACGTATATATACAGCAAAAAACCGTCCTTGGGAAGCGTTACAAAATAGAATACTAAAAGGCGCAATGGACCAATAGCATTTAAGATTCTCCCAAGTGGGAAATATGACATAAAGGTGAAAAGAGCGCTTTTAGAGCGAAAACAAAGGAATTCAAATTTTAAAAATAAAATTACAAATTAAGGCATTTACCAAGTGAGTTCTGAGATCTAACATCCCCAACACAAAGAACCTAGTACAAATATGCATTGGCCTAACAGACCATGCTACATTGGCACAGTGAACTTCACAAGAGATCAAAATAATATGGTAGAAGTGAAAATAATATTAATCACTGAGAATATGGTTTAGAGAGATAGGGTGAAAAGGTATTGAGCGGATAATGAAATTCAAGAACGAGGGGAATAAATAATCGAGTGAATGTATCTTTATCGCCAACCAGTGAACGCAGTTATTTGTCAGACAGAAATCAGATAGTCAGCATCTATTAACATGGCTTAAAGTAATTATCAATGACTTCATCGACTAATGTAATGTTACGGTTTAGAGGATTCTAGCGTTTTCCTAATGAAAAATTACATCGGCAAGTATCGTCCATCGAAGCAGGCCTACTCATTATTCATGTGATCACAGGAAAGTACATCAATTCCTCTTAAAAAATAATAAGTACGTAAGACTGATGAGTCCTTATTAGTAATTGATAAAAAGGTGAATTGATGAATTTCCTCTAACTTAGTACAACAATTTACGATAAGTTTTATAACGAGTGTAACATCAGTTTTATCCGAAATTGATTATATTCGACACAGTATTAATTTATATTTAGTATGATGATTTTCTGTGAACACGCCTCTGTAGAACATTCCAACTTGCTGGATCAAAGAAAAACGGATAAAGCGAAGATTAGAACTAGCAATGAAGTATTCAGTGTAAAATATGCTCTTATGCACAGCATTCAATCACTAAATGAACGGAACAATACTAAATATTACACACATATTGAACACTGAGAAGCAGATGTGCTACAAATTCATGGATATGTCCCTTATCCCTATTATCAGTTATTGATTTGATCATATCAACCACTGTCTTTCTACATATATATACGCATGTGCGTATGATAAGTCGGAATAAGAAGACGAGTTCATGGGTTCGCTGTAACTGAGTGTAACACATTCTCAGTGTAATATTTTAGTCAGTACAATATCGGGTTTATATTTTCTAGCGTTACATTATTCCATATCAATATGTTTTGCACAAATTAACAATCACTGATGTGAACTACTTACTATACAGTGTGGTTGATAATTATACTATTTGTACTATTCTGTATGATATTCGTTTATATTTTACAGTGTGACCCTATGTATCATTTCATTTGTATGATGTTTATAAACTAAACATCAATTGTGTGCAAAATTCGTATATAAATGAGTGTATTCAGCTTAGCAACGTTATGACTTCAGAGATTTAATAAACCTTCATTGTATTAACCTTTTGTATTCTCACTTTATACCATAGAAATTACAGTGATTATCGATTATCAATTAAAAACAGTATTGCCGCAGATACTACAGTAAGAAATGTAAGTCAATTGAGACGTCTTGTCAACTATTATAGGAACAAAAATCAAACCAATGGGAGACAACCAAAACAAAGAAGTAAACAATGACAAATTTAAGGTCAACATCGAAGTGTACAGAACAAGATGTGAAACACATATGGAGATAATTCGAACACTTCACTTCTATCTGAAGTTTGTGCTGATGACGTCGTTCAGAAGAACGGCCAAACCATCTAGCTCATAGAACAAAACTCCATCAAAAACTATTACTTATCAATCAACGCAATCAGACACCCTTAACAACAACTTCATATCTATCTATCTATCTATGAAAAATAAGCAAAGGATAATGAAAAAATAAATAACTATTCTTTATTGCCCACTGAATAAATAATAGATTACTAATGTAATATATACTACTAAATATTACTAATAAATTGAGAAAAGTCAACATGATCAAAGTATAAAGATTGAATTGATCAACTTGTTTTCCTGAGAAAAATAATACAAATAAGAACAAAATCAACATGAGAGAGAGAGAGAGAAAGAAAGAAAAGAACTAAACGTTTCTCTGAATTATTTACTCGGTTGATCAATACGTAACAAATGATCAGCTATTGAAAAATAACCACGATATGATACAGTTGGACCATAGGTATCAAAATGACAATGTCCACAATTTGTTTGATCTTGATTAAAACAATGAAAATGTTCTAAGCGTAAACCAAGATGATGCTAGAAAAAACAAAGGAGGAAAAAACAAACAACTTAAAATTAGTTTAGTTTAAGAGGTTTGATAGAAATTGATTTATAAGTTGTATCCATTAAAGAGAGAGATTCTAGTTGAGATAGTATTGAAAACCGGGTAGCACTAGACAGTGGTCTCATTGTGACATGTCGAAAGTAAAACAGTTTTTCCACCAATAACATAGGATGATATTCACGCTACACCATGAACTGACTGAAGTTCACATAATATCACTAAAAGCCAGTATCAGTGGTTCGAGCTATTCAGTATTAACCACGAAATTTGAAGGTCCTGAGTCCAATTCCTAATTGGGCCAAAGGAGCACATTAGTGAGGAGTACAATGCTAGGACAAAACGTACACTCTATATGCAGCAATTAGTAATGTTACACGTCTATGTGATATGGACAGAAACATTATCTTAATCTTTCAGTCATTCTATTACTGTTATGTGTGACCTTGTGTGTGTGTGTATGATGAAACATGTCTCCATGATGTCTTGTATATCTCATGCCTATAAGTATTGTCATATTTTGATAAAATCGAGTAGGCCCGTTCACCTTCACTAATCTGCATCTCTGATAGTCCGTCTGCATTAATGGATGTCTGAAACATGCGTATCTAAAAGTATCTTCATATTTGACATTTGATATACCGTTGCTTTAAATGTGTCAAGACGGCAGAACACATATGAAGTCAATTAGAACGTATATATTCTATTAGCGTCATTATCGTCCGATCATTAAAAGCGTTCCCTGATTTTCGATGATACATTAAATGATATAAAACTGAGACAAATAGAACTAAAAATGAGGTCGATTATTAACTGTTGAAGAATAACTTTCATTTTTATTCCAGTCAAACTAATCAATAAAGTAGTCATCCTTCTAAACACAAATATAAATTATAAGTGAATGATAAACCTACTGATAGCACAAATAGTTGACTTTCTCTCTATAATGGAAAGTATTCACAATGTGGACTAGTGATCCAGCGCTTAAGGGATTCGATTCACCATTCAACAACTAAGTCACAGGTTTCAACACACGATCCATTTACTTTACTTTGACCAACCGATTAGTGTTCCTAGCTTCATCATACCTAGAGTCTGACTCATATCTCAAGTAGCTTGTGAATCAATTAATTTATTTTTACCATTGTTAAAATGTGATACAACCGGTTAGTAGAATAAAAATCAACTTCCATCAATTTGTTTTCTTTTAAAACATCTAGGTATACTTTTGACCCTTATAAGTTATTTTGACGGCCTTCTTGAATATCTGGGTTACCTGTTCCTTACCATCTAGATATTTCAACATGTTTTAGTTTTTTCGTCTTAACACATCATTATGTCGATTAATTGCATAACCTATTCAGGGGCGTTTATGAAAAGTCTACAATCTATCTCTTTATAAGGTACAAAAAAGTCCAATCAGAGATATCGTGGTGACTGTCAATATGCATTGAAAAAAATGCACATTATTCAGATGTTGATTCCTGAACGGTAAACATCTACCTGGCAATCACTCAATATTTATCATCAGGATCAATCAAGCAATAAGAAAAGGAAACTTGTTAAAATAGTTGTGAGAATTCTACACTGTACTAAAAACTGAATAAAGCTAATAGTAATAGTAATGATAATGGTAATAATAATAATAATAATAATAATAATAATAATAATAATAATAATAATAATAATAATAATAATAATAATAGTGAAAATGATAGTAGTAATGAGAATAATACAAACACTAATAATAATAGTAATGGTGATAGTGTTCAGTTCGCGGTTTGCGACTACGACACTCGAACGTTGGAACTTTATCGTCGCAAATCATGAGACAGTAGAAAAGCTGCAGAAGTGTTTATTTGGTAAGAATCGAAATGTACAGAAAATCACGGGTATTTATAGATATTAGCATTTGTTATATCAACATTATAATTCGGCAACTCCGCAAAGAGACATATTATGCTACTGTTCAATAGTAGCATGCCACGTTGATATTCTAGAAAGCTCCACCATGTTCTGATTGCATGGAAACTCTTACGCCTTCCAAACATAGCCTCAGCGGGAGACTTACTATCTGGGACAATTGGGTTCGGAGTGGTTCTGTAGGCCGTCAAAAATCTTGTGATGACCTGTCCAATTGTCCCCTAGCCTCCCCCTTTAAGTAATGCTCGTTTAAAAGTGTACACAAAACGTTCTGCTTGTCCATTCGATTGTGGATGATAGGGAGGAGAACAAAGATGAGTTATTCCATCAAATGGCTTATGGTCTATTATTAGGGTGAAATGTCGACCATATATTATCTTGTGGAACTTTTTCACTGCAAAGATAATTGATAGAGCTTCTTTCTCAGTTTGACTATAATTCCGTTCTGTCGTTGTCAGTGATCTGGCAGCATGAGAGGTAACTTTTTCAGACTCATCAGGAAAAATGTGAGAGATGACTGCACCAACACCATGGTTAGAAGCATTTGAAGCAACAACTATTGTAGCACACCCCGTCGCCAGAGATCTTAGTAACTGAAAATGACTCGCAATTTATTGCAGAATCGTTTAATTATTTTTGTAGCACAAATGGAATAACTCATCTTTGTTCTCCTCCCTATCATCCACAATCGAATGGACAAGCAGAACGTTTTGTGTACACTTTTAAACGAGCATTACTGAAAGGGGGAGGCGAGGAGACAAGTGGACATGTCATCACAAAATTTTTGACGGCCTACAGAACCACTCCGAACCCAATTGTCCCAGATAGTAAGTCTCCCGCTGAGGCTATGTTTGGAAGGCGTATTCGGACCATTTTCAACGCCATGTTGCCACCCAAAATAGGGGATGGACACAGTCACAATCTTAATATCCGGAGCTTTAAAGTTGGCGACAAAGTATTCATTAAATCCTACCTCGGAAAGAACCGATGATAACCGGGAAAAGTCGTACGCAGATTGGGAAATGTTTTGTACAGAGTCCTTACCGGTCAATTGCAGATCACTTGATACAAATATACCATTTTGTGTTAATTCTAAATTTTGTAATTGCAGTACACAGACATTTTCAAATCACTATTTACTTATGGTAGGACCATACAGTAAGTAATACTTAGGTTAGGTGAAGGGTGTTGAGTAGATATGATCAATAAATTGATGGACATGTAAACATCTATCGACCGTGATGATTGAAACATATGTCACGCATTATATCTACCCATCACCTACGATGGCGTGCTCCATGCTGGTGGTTAACATAAGAGTAGGTAGTAAGAATTACTTTATATCTTTCTTTCTACCAGCTAATTCTTTCTTCCTGTACTATATCCTTATATTACCACCATTGAATTGACAGTCTATGAATTCGGTGTTCATTTTGTTGTGCTAATAACGTATGGCAACTTGGACCGATGCATATATGTCCCTGGTCTTACGTTGTAACTGACTGACTGAGGTAGTAAGAAGTCTAGAGGAGACCAGGTTAAAAAGTGATATTATTTGATGAAAACACTGGACTTTTTCGACCAGAACATTTTTACATTATAGCTGATGTCGATTTGCGACGAAAATGCTAGCTTCACACCCTAAATACCTAAGTCTAACCAAGAACAATGTGGCGATTCTCGAAAATCTCTTCAGATCCTTTTAAGAGTTCAATAAGATGTTCATTAAGACGGGGTTATATCTTATTTTCTCGATTGACAGACAGAGTAATTTGTAGAAGATATTAATAGACTTATTGATTGTATAAAATTAGTTTAAATTGCAATATCATTGTTTACTTTTCCATAAATTATCCATTTAGTAAAAGTTGTTCTCTGATTGATTCGAAACTAGCTGGAAATTTGTCCCGACTATTCGTCCTTATACTACGCTGTTACTGATTAGATTATCACTACAAATGGTAGTGTTAGATAAGGGTGAAATAATTAAGATAGAACATTGAAGATTATTCTACGATGCATTATTACATAAACTACTCATATTACGTATTTATCAAAGATTTATTCTAATGGTATAAATTGTGTCACGTTAATCGTAAGTTAACACTGAACTCGTTAACTGTAAGGAAAATTACAGCTATTTAATCATATGTTTGCTGCTCAGTTTTAAGCTACAAATAACCTAGAAACGAATAGAATGTGACTTCCCATTTATGATATATTGCGCATTAATACTTGATGTATATACATATAATGATCATGTGAATATTTTTTTAAGTCAGAAAATATAGACACCATTATTCTGTAAGATTTTCTCATGTCTTGAATGGGCAGTTTGAAGACAGAAAGAGTTTAAATGAACCAATTCGCATCAGCAAACTTGGTGGATGAGTGAAGGCCTCTAGAGACTAACAGAACAAAAAGAGGACCAATTCATAAATGGATTTAATAAATTGGTGGACGTATAAAAGATGGAATCCGTAATAATTTGCTTCTAGTTTTGTTCTTGCACTGTGAGAATAATTAGGATATAAGAACTTGAATCGACTTATCTGTTTTAAGTATTATACTTCTTACGGTCGACTGACCGATAATATATCAGAAAAAAATCTGAAGGCGCGGATTGGTAAAGCAAGAGCAGCACATCTATAATTGAAGAACATCTGCAACTCAAAACAACTGTCTGTCAACCAAAACCAAGGTCAGAATTTTCAATACAAATGTCAAGACAGTTTTACTGTATGGGACAGAAACGTGGAGAACTACGAAAGCCATCATCCAGAAGATACAAGTGTTTATTAACAGTTGTCTACGCAAAATACTTTGGATCCGTTGACCAAACACTATCAGCAACAACCTTCTATGAGAGAGAACAAACCAGATCTCAGTGAAGGAAGAAATCAGGAAGAAGTGCTGGAAGTGGACAGGACACACATTGAGGAAAACACCCAACTGCGTCACAAGGCAAACTCTTACATGAAATTCTCAAGGCCAAAGAAAATAGAATTATCAAGGAACACATTACGCTGAGAAACGGAGACAGACACGAGAAAAATGAACAAAAATTGGATAGAACTGGAAAGGAAGGCCCAAGACAGAGTGTGTTGGAGAATGCTTGTCGGCGGCCTATGCTCCATTGTGAGTAACAGGCGTAAGAAAAAAGTCCCACATTGAATATCATCTTTAACAAGTTAAGTCAATTGACAATTTATTTGATTAAATATAAATGGATATCATCATATGTAGTAAAGGAACAACATAATCAACTTACAGGATCGTGTGATACAGCGATTCCAACTGAAATCACAGGAGATTCCATTTCAAACATTTTAATCCAATTACGAAGTTTCTCACCTGAATCAAGTGGTTCTTGTGAGAATTCAGGCTGTAAATAAACAAAGTTCGGGGGGGGGGGGCAAAGGAGGCCGGTTTGATTGCAGACCAAAAGTCAAACAATGAAGAAAGGAACTTTGTAAACCACAACTTCATCCTAAAGACTTATTATTAATTACTATTTAAACACATAAAGATTGGTATGAAAGGGCACCCAAATATATATGCACCCCAAAAGGTAGTTGCCATCAAATTTGTGTGGAAGAGGGCACTGTTCGGGTAAGCAAACCGAAGTAGATGGTTTTCCAAGAAGGCCACTCCACGAGCCTTTGATCTAGAGATCTAATCCACAAGGCAGTAGGGCAGCGTGTGTAGATGTGGTCGTATGGTAGTCAGTGAGCAACAATAGGTTCATACGCCATTTGTTCCCTCAAGATCCGGGAGCCCATGTGCACTATTGGTTTGGAATCAGGGTTTTCCAACTTCCCTAGGTGGATCCTCAGTATCCATAGACCTGTTGAAGCGCCGAACATTCTCTTTTCGTCCTCTCAATTTCGTAAACAACACTCCCTTCGAAGGAAGTCAGTGAATAGGATTTCCCTAGCTAAATATATGGGATCATATCAGATCATTCCCAGAAGGAGAGCGGGGTCTTCCACCCTTGGTTGTACTAGGGGACATCTTGAAGACTAAGGACTTGTCTGTTGATTTCCTCTTTTAAGATAATCTTTAGTAAAGTGAGCAATATATGTATTAAAAGTATATAGTTATTTGTCGTAATTACACTGAAAGACAAGACTAATCCAGTAAAAGAATACTCCTATAGTTTCTCTCTTTTCTCCTAGTTACCTTGTAGAACTTATGAACAGAAGTGATAATACCTGTAAGTTGATACAAACCACCCATTAAGTGGTTGATTCAAACTGTATTTCGTCTCACTTCAGTTTTTTAGGCAGACTAGTAGAAGTGAATGATCCAAATAAGTCTTCACTGAAGTTTCACTGTGTTAGTTCGAATCTTATCCATGTCATTAAATGTCTGCTGTTCGAATGTTCAAATAGTTCTACACTTGAGCCTCAAATAAAAGATTTACTTTGAGGTTAATTAATGTACAGAAAACAAGGTTATTTATAGATTTACAAATGGCCTTAACGTTCTAAAAGCTTCTGGAAGCTTACTAAATTTAATGGCAGAATATCTAACTACCTATTTAAAGTGCGACATAACCTTTTGTTTTGAAAATGTTCTTAGTTGGATTAAATAAGATATTTTCAGTATCTGCCTGACTTGTGAAGACTATATCGAAGATTCCTTGGAAGTTTCCAACACATAGGTACATATACACACAAAACTAGTGGTTCGCAGACTACTTACGTGGATTCATATTTACTTGATTTCGTAAAATATATTTACTAAGTTTATGTACTGCAGATTTTAATCCACATTATTTGTATGACAGCTAGTTTATAGCAAGCGACTGAATGAAGTTTAAGCACTCAACATGAGCCCTGAAGGTTCTAGATCAGATCTTTAATGTGGTCATAGATGTGTACTGCCACTGCTGAGCTTCATATACTAGAATGAAACAGCAGCCTAGCTGTGCTTCACAGTTCCCAATGGTCGTCCAATCCAAGTCAAACCATGATGTAAAAACCTTTTCACAACTCCCATGGTATGACAATTGGAATTTTTGTAATAAAAAAAAGATACACTTACAAGTACATGATATAATGATTTGCCTTTTTCTTGAACTATAACTCCACCCAAACCAACAGCATCATTTAAATGACCATATTTTACATGTAATGCCTCACGAATCATTGCGTCGAATTTTCCATCTCGAATACGCCCAGATACATTTAATTCGATAACCTTTATTTAAAAAGAAAGAAAATCATAAGTTCTTACACTAAACAACTGATTAGTTGATTAAACAACAAATAACTAACGAAACATTAAGAACTTAAAATCAGAATAATAATGATTAATCAGCTTATGCAATTGTGAATTCGCATTGAAAAACTTGGATAGACCCATGTATATATATATATATATATATATATATATATATATATATATATGTCCTATTTTGTACATGACTGGTTTCTGTTGTGCACACGGTCTTATTTACTTATACTTGACCACTGGGAACCATTATAATTCCTAAGCCTAAGGAGAAAACATAAACTAGTATGTATGAATATATAACAACACAACAAGTCATCCAAGAAGATGTCATTGTTAACCCGAATACACTCATTTATATACGAATTTTGCACACAATTGATGTTTAGTTTATAAACATCATACAAATGAAATGATACATAGGGTCACACTGTAAAATATAAACGAATATCATACAGAATAATACAAATAGTATAATTATCAACCACACTGTATAGTAAGTAGTTCATATCAGTGATTGTTAATTTGTGCAAAACATATTGATATGGAATAATGTAACGCTAGAAAATATAAACCCGATATTGTACTGACTAAAATATTACACTGAGAATGTGTTACACTCAGTTACAGCGAACCCATGAACTCGTCTTCTTATCCCGACTTATCATACGCACATGCATATATATATGTAGAAAGACAGTGGTTGATATGATCAAATCAATAACTGATAATAGGGATAAGGGACATATCCATGAATTTGTAGCACATCTGCTTCTCAGTGTTCAATATGTGTGTAATATTTAGTATTGTTCCGTTCATTTAGTGATTGAATGCTGTGCATAAGAGCATATTTTACACTGAAGACTTCATTGCAAGTTCTAATCTTCGCTTTATCTGTTTTTCTTTCATCCAGCAAGTTGGAATGTTCTACAGTAGCATGTTCACAGAAGATATTTGTAAACAGCTTTAGTTGACGAAAATGAAATCTTCAACGGGAATTACACTCTTATATGTAGTATTGAATGAATGAAAAAATGATCAAAAGTGTCAAATATCGATTGAATTTTTACTGAACATTGAAAAATATTTTTTTTCGCAAAACTTTTAAAAACATCCTACCTCAAAAAGGGTATTCACACAAAAATATCAGGCTTTACAGTTTGATCTTACAAATGAATCATCTTAAAATGCTTCAATAATTTTCTATTCCCGAATATTCTCAAAAAGTTCCACATTAATAAGACAAATACTTGGCAGTCGTTATGTCATTCTGTAGACGTAACGAAAAACTTTAGGGGGTAAAACCATAGATATGAAGTCAATGGCGGTGGGTTAGAGTGTTGACGTAGTAGGAGCTCAGTTTTTCATGATCCACAAGTTTTTTAATTAAAAGAATTCGACGTTACGAAGAATTGTTTTTGTACACAAAAAGGGGCATGAAATTTACGATTAGAGAAGACCTCAAAAAGTTAAGAATTCGTTCTTGACAATTTCAATACAATGTCCTAAAAGCTGTATTGATGTTAATTTTGTACCATGTATCAATTGTATGTTTCTCTATCGATGAACATGGTTTTCTACCTCCCACGTTGATCGGATCATTTGACACTAATTGGTTTTGAAGCTATCTAAACACATGTTCAATGACCTTTGATTGGACTATTCGATTACTCTTCCTTATTTTTATGTGTCCACACAAACATGTAAATTGGTAAATGCTATATCCCGATGAGAATAATGAATGGTAACTGTTGGAATGTATTTCTGGACTAATACTATACGTATATTTTTACTGTATAATTGTTAAGTAGCTAAATTATTCATATTGGTGTTCCTCTTGTCACAAGTTATACTTTGACCTATAGACTATTATTATACGATTTACCATTCTTGGGTTATGACCTGTCTACCAATCACAATCTCCCACATTGTCACATTTGGCTTAATCTTGTGCAAATGTTGTTTCCTATTTTATGGTACGATGTAGTCTGTTTGATTGGTATATAAACCTAGTATGTTTGAAATAAATGATTCATATTGCAGAGGCTGAGATTGGTGTTCTGCAAATAACAGGCAGGGCTAGTCGGGAAGCAGGATCGATAAGGGCTCTAGACTGCTGATACGGGTTTTATGCATCATTGGTCCGGTCGATAAGTCATTGTTCTCTAATTGGTGGTGTCATCACGTTATACATTAATAGGACACAGGGTACAAGTTATAACAGTAAACACAATGGGATGTGACGCAAACACTTGTGTATTGTCTAGATCTATTTGGAATCATGGACTTAGACTTTTCGATCGCAACCAGTTGAGCAGCATAATAGGTTTTCTCGATGGCTACTTTCAATCTCTGTCTTAAAACCATTCTATTGGATTCACCTCTATATGGTAGATCAATATAAACTTTTTTCTTTGGGGCCGAATAAACGAGAGATCTTGGCGTTGACTGACTTTTTCACCCATTAATAAACTTTAGTGGATAACCATTTGATATTAATGTGTCAGTCAGCAACTTTTCATCTTTTTCAACCGTGTCAGTAGTGCAAATTCTTTGAATTCTATTAAAGAGACACTTAATCAAGCCTCGCTTGTATTGCGATGGACAGAAACTATGGAAATTTAAGTATTGCCCCACGCAAGCTGGTTTTGTTATCAATCCTGCTTCCCGACTAGCCCTGCCTGTTATTTGCAGAACACCAATCTCAGCCTCTGCAATATGAATCATTTATTTCAAACATACTAGGTTTATATACCAATCAAACAGACTACATCGTACCATAAAATAGGAAACAACATTTGCACAAGATTAAGCCAAATGTGACAATGTGGGAGATTGTGATTGGTAGACAGGTCATAACCCAAGAATGGTAAATCGTATAATAATAGTCTATAGGTCAAAGTATAACTTGTGACAAGAGGAACACCAATATGAATAATTTAGCTACTTAACAATTATACAGTAAAAATATACGTATAGTATTAGTCCAGAAATACATTCCAACAGTTACCATTCATTATTCTCATCGGGATATAGCATTTACCAATTTACATGTTTGTGTGGACACATAAAAATAAGGAAGAGTAATCGAATAGTCCAATCAAAGGTCATTGAACATGTGTTTAGATAGCTTCAAAACCAATTAGTGTCAAATGATCCGATCAACGTGGGAGGTAGAAAACCATGTTCATCGATAGAGAAACATAATTGATACGGGGTACTAAATTGAAATAATTACTTATTTGGTTGTATATGATATCCATATGCGATTCGATTAGTTGAATTCCATGAGAAGCATTTTTGTTTTGTTCGGATGTGGAACGCATGTGGTTTTTATGATTTGAGAATTATTTATTCAAAAGAAATTTTGGAAATCTTCCAGTTACTTTTTCAATAAGAAAATAATTGAATGACTATTAATTTAAGAGAAATTTACATACTTATAAAGGTAACACAGGTATTAGGAGTTTGACAACGCTTTTACACCTAACACCTCTGTAATCTAAGTATACCAACCACGTCAATTTAAAAGGGGTTCGAAGATATATTCGTAATGTTATCGATATATTGAGAGCTGTTTGGTCTAAGCTGACTAGAAATTGTAAGAGTTGCGTAGCACGATGTACTCATTGGAGATCTGGTGCGGATACCTGACTGAGTGCCTTCAGTTAAATGTGTGCGTCCAGTAAAACTAATCAGGTCAACAATGTCAAAGTATTTATTTATTTAAACACAAATATTGGTACAAAATAGATATGCGCCACATAAGTCGTTCCATTTGTGTGAGGCCTGAGATACTGTCTGGGAGCCCAAACCGAAGCAGATGGCTTTCTTAGAGGGCAACTCCATGAGCCTTTAACCTAAGAGTCTGATCCACAAGACAGTAGAGCAACGTCGAGATGTAGTCCCATAGAAGCTATTTGTTCCCTGAGGTTCCTGGAGCCCACGTGCACCATTGGTCTGAATGAGGGTTTTCCAACTTCCCTAGTCGGGTCCTCCGAATCCACCGATCCACTGAAGCACCGAACATTCTTTGTCCTCTCAGTTTCGTAAACACTCCGAGGGAAGGAAGTGAGTAGGACATCCCTGGCAGTGGTGAAGAAGACTTACAGAACTATTTATTTTAGGCATTTATTTACCGCTAAACATATTTTGAAACAACAAAAGAGTAGCAAATAACTTTACATTAGCCAATAACCTGAGTAATTTGCAAACGTTTACTAGAACTTACAAGAATGAAAACGTTTCAATGAATGAAATTTCCTTTTTTATTAAGGAATATTAATTTTGGTGGAGTTTTGTTCCGAACTACTAATCTTCTCTACTATTTCAAAATACCAATTTATACAGTAGATACAAAGAACAACTGCCTACTTTACAAATAAGAAAAAGAAATTGAACAAGACAATGATTAATACTTGAGATTTCCGCGGTAGGACAATGGAAGACGGAGGAATCCTACTGTCTAGCACTAATTCACATTCACATAATTCGTTCGAGCTTCCCAGTAGACTTCAATAACTTGTAACTATTGAGTCATTTTTACCTTCATAATAGCTTTTCTATTCTACTCAGATGGAATTGTGACCAGAACCACACATACATGTCTTATTAACATGCCCTCCTATTTCTACGCTTATGCGTCTTGTACACACTTTTGTGCATATGTTTATCACATATTCTTTGATCCAGTATCTGTCTCTTTGCCATACTACCCAACATCTACATTCAGTTATACTAACGCTTGTATTCAGTGGTATAACCAGTTGACATGGTTCATTTCTCCAGTTTGCTTCGTTTCCCTTATTGTCTGTCTGAGGAAACGACTGTATGAACTACATGTATCTAAAATTCATTCCCACTACTTCACCCACATAATTTTCTCTAAAGGTTCCTACCATCTTAAGAATAATATATGGTTATATATCAACAGTCATATGGCATTAACAATTTTATCTTATTTAACAATCCTTATTTCACATGCCATAACGTTCAACCATTCACATTATCCCAAACCTGACCACTACTCCGATTATTAATTTAGATGTATAGTTGTAGAACCTGAAGAGAATTTATACAAAAGAATATTCCGCGTGCACATATGAATCTTTTGTTTAATTCTATTATTCTCTAATAATAATTAATTCAATAATTATATACGAGGGTTGCCGGCATGTATATTTTGTCGACATAATCATACCATGTTCCAGATGTGGTGTGTGCTACTTATGTAGACATAAGTAGTATATGACGTGAGCACTGAACAGAATGTCTGGCGGCAGAGAGATAAGAAGATTGAACAATAAAGAATGAAGACAGAATGCAATTTGTACGAAAATGCAAGAACAAGGGGATTCTGAGGGATTTGAGACAATTGTTGAATAATTTGCAAATTAACGATTCAATATATGGTTGTTTGATTTTACTAACTAGCTCTGTAATTTGTTGTTAAATACATTGGATTGTCCTCACTGGTGTTTTGTTCACTACAATATCACCCTGGTACCGACAAGAGGAACGAAAGTCAACAACGCAATAACAGGACAAAGCTTAGCTGCTTGGAGTCGTACTTTCATGGGTGAAGACTTGTAACTACTACTGCGTTACTAAAACCAAAAATGGTCCAAGATTGAAAGTTGCAACTCAACGGGTAAAAATTGACTAATTTACACGCAAGTTTTGTTCTGATAATGCATACCAATAAACATCTTTCACTTCACCGTGTTATATTACAGAAACTTTCTGTTACATTTAGTAAATTAAACATGGGCTAAATAATGAATGAAAAATGGTGAAGGGACTTAGCTCAATTTTCTAAGGAAATAAACACGCTACTGGTTGAAAATACAGCTTTATTTTCTGAAGGACATGTATAGCAACTCACATTCAATTGAGTTTGCTCTCACCTAATTCGGTTAAGCCCTTTTATTAACTTTATTAAACGGACAAAGTCACCTGCACTATAATAATTTATTGTATCCTTATTACTGTTGCGAATGTATGTACCTTTATTATTGTTATCCTTGTATGAATATGTATGCTCGACAAGCCTTACTGCCTACGCATTTATTCACGCTACTAGCTTTACTATTAACCGCTTAATTGACTCGATGATTCATTCATTTCACTATGTATATATATGTCCATGTTATTCATATTCATGACTCGCTCGCTCGTTCATTCACTCGCTCGATCGCTCGCTCTTGCCCTTGCTCTCTCTCGCCCGCTCGCTTGCCTGTTTGCCTTTCGGCACAACTATTTCATGCTTGCTTAACGCATCTGTAATTTTGGATATCTGTGTGTGGTCTCTTAATAAACGTAATTAACGCTTCGTATTCGCCTTCTGATTAATATACCGTTGGAGCAGTATTTGGTGACGGTTACCGAGACGAACTGTATACGGAGTTTAAGGAATATATCGAACACCGACCACCACACATGTATCTGAATTTACGAAAGAGTTGTGTATAAATTCTCAATTCGGTTAACCAATAAAAGCTTTCTACTGAGTCTTGATTTTCTCATTCAAGTAGCTGAATTCGGCACCCCTACAAGAAGCATACATATCAGCGGCAGAATCGAGTGGTCTTGACAGTTTTCGATTATTAATTCCATTCGTGATAGACCAATCCAAAAATAACTGTTATTTCACTTACTTCTAGTGATCCTATTCAAATCCATACGGTACTGCGTGATGAAAGATGATTAATTAATAAGTAATTTGATATGTTATTTATTTTAATAATAAAAAGTAAGCTTTAACCAGTCACTACTAATCTCTTTCTTTCATCTAAGTCTGCGTAGAATGCATAGAAATTTGAAACAAAAAAAGAGGAGAAATTAAAATTTTAATGTGAATTATCGTTATATTCATCATTTCACTTACCGGTCCAGGTTTACCTTCACACATGAACATTTGACCTAACAAAGCAAATTTGGTATTATCAGCTTTTGTTAGCAAAGGTTTATTATTCTAGAATAACAATAAAAGATTGTTAAAGTATATAAAGATAATCAAATATTGAAATATATTAAAATTTTATTAAAGTTAAATAATGGCTAATAGTAAAATTTAAAAAGAGTGTTTCATTCTACTACCTGGGACTCATTAGTTGCATGTATCTACATTTCAGTGTTTATGTCAATAATGAAAATTGAACCTAATAACTTTTTTGCTTCAAATACTGGACGCAAGTCCAGATAGCCAATAAGCCAGTGCAATAAATGTGAATTTTATTTTTTATAGTCTGTTAAGGACTACAATTGATCATTCTTTATTAGGTATATGTAAATTTTGAAGAAATTGCCTCAATATTGCTTTTCAATGATTAGCACTCTCAATAGGAATCCATCAAACTGTACTCTTGAATATCAATAACAAGATAATGAAAGCTACCTTTTTCTTTTGAATTCCAAAAAAATATTTCCCCAAACCTACTACTAAGAACTAGATAACTTTAAAAAAGTGTGAGTTAGTCGAATCACTTAACTAAACACAATATATTGTAATTCGACTTGCTGTCAGTCTTTATTCACTAACAATTGGAAAGTTAATTAACAACAATAAATGATGTGTTTTTATGAACATTTAAGAGGTATAATCACAACAATTCAATTGGTAACCCCACCCTACAATACAGGCTTCAGTGACTTGGATAAGTACTACGAATGCCATCCATAAAAATTCCACATTGTGCACTATTCGCACTATTATAATTTTGTTGTATAATTACTGAGTAACTCGATTATCATGTATATATATTCCTCTCGTTATGAGCTTTCGGGAAACCCATTGAATACTGTTATACTATTTACCATTCCTAATTTACTGTCAGTTTATTGATTGCAGTCTCCACTATTTACGACCAGTTTTGGCTTCTTTATGTATAACGGTTATTTTCCACTTTATGGTGTGATGCAGTCTGGTATGTCTGCATATAAACTACGTCTGTCTGATAGATATAGTAGAGGCTGGTTGCTGAATTTTTGGCTTAAGGCTGGAGCTAGCGAATAGTGAACCAACAGAAACCTAGATGTTAGTAGTGCTAGCCGGGGGTGTAATTGACCAGTCTAGGGACACAAGGCTCTCGAGGAAATGGTAAACGCGCAATAGACGGCATCAGGATCAGAATTTTGACCGGTTGCTGGGCATGTGATGTTCATCAATGGATTTAAAGACATAATAAGGTCCTAGGAATAGTGCAAATCAGTGACTTAAGAAATTACCAGGTATGGCTCAGAAAAAAAGTGGAGGTACCCCCGCAATTTTATTATATTCTATTTATAAAAATGAGAGAAACTTATTTAACTGAAGGAATTCTTAATTTAATTTTTCTTAACTGAACTGTTTCTCTCATTATATACTATTCTCGTTCACTTATCTTCACTCAACTAATTATTTTTTGAATTATATTCGCTCTTCGTCATCTATATCTTCAGAATTTCACTCACTTATGTGTATGGAACATATTTATTTTGGTCATTTGTACCAATATTTATGTTCAGATAAATATTTTTTCGCTATTCGACAGTCTAATACATACGACAATGAAAGTCAGGTGTCAAATTAAGACGTTAAGTTAATCCACGAAGTTACCAGCTATATATTTGAATTATGTTGGTAAGCACCAGCGTCTTTAGTCAAGCAGTAAACAATTAATGAATACTAGCAAGCATGAAACTCGAATCTACAATCCCCTTTTTGAATTTATTTTAAACGGTAGTCATACGCTATTAATAGCAAACTAACCCTTTTATGCAGATAATTATTAATCTAGATTTAGTCTTGTACAGAATTATAAACATTTTAACTAAAAAAAAGATGGTGAGAATGCATTAAATATACTTACTTCTTTATCATATGATCCAAATAACGAACCATTTTTTACAACACCATTTTCATAAGAAATATTTATAACCATCTAAAAGATAAGTAGGGTAATTATCAAAAGAGAAAGGGAATGAATAAGTATTAAACCACAGTGAGTCGCCCTAAACAACTTTTAAAATAAAAATGAAGACCAAAATTATTAGCAATTAACGGAAACAAAGACAAGTGCTTAAATGCATCAACACTATGAACAAACAAAACACAAGAATCTAGGTCACGAGTTTCTTACTGTCTGGGACTCGTCAGTTGGATGCAACCTAATCCCAGCATTGACGCTCACATTGGAACTCTAACCCGGTACTAGATGATTTGAACCTCCATACGTTATGTACAAAGCCGCTGAGTCCACATAGTCACTAACATATTCAACGTACAGAATGTTTAGTTGTAAGGGTTATCCCCCAAATGACAGATGAAGGGCCCGCTCTGCCTGTCGGAATGCTCTCATATGGCCACGAGTATATAACCACTGCAAGAAAAGTCCCACTTACTGTTCTCTCCAACCGCATGTGTAATTTAAAGAATCAACAGGACGAAAAGAAAACGTCCGGTAAGCGAATCGGGGAGGATTTTATATTTATTATTTATTTTAACACATAGGTATTGGTACAGGGAGGCACCAAATACATATGCGCCACACGAATCTCGATTTGTGTGAGGGCTGTGATACTGCCCGGGTGCCCAAACCGAAGCAGGTGACTTTTTTAGGGGGCCACACCACGAGCCTTCGACCTGAACGTCTGACCCACAAGGCAGTGGAGCATTGTAAGGAGATGCAGTCCCATGGTACCCGGTGACCAACGATTGGTTCATACGCCATTTGTTCCTTCAGGATACTGGAGCCCATGTGCACCATTGGTTTGGGGTCCGGTTAAAGCGCCGGAAATTCGCTTTTCGTACTCGCATTTTCGTAAACAACACCTCCGCCACGAGAAGGCAGTGAGTAGGACTTCCCTGGCAGAGTCTATATACGCGTGGCCATGTGAGAGCATTTCGAGAAGGAGAGCGGACTCTCCCCACTCTCGGCCGTACCAGGGCATTTGGGGACATTGGGGAGGATGCACTTAAGGGAGTTGGAAAACCGTGATTCCAAACTAGTGGTCAACACAGACTGCAAGATTCTGAGGGGACAAGTGGCGTATGAACCTATTGTTAGTCACCAACAACTATGGGACATGTAACGTTGCTCAATTGTCTTGTAGACTAGACTTCTACGGGAGTGGCCCTCTAGTAAAACCACCTGCCCCAACTTGTGCGCTCGCGCAGTGTCTCGTTTAATGATTCGTTGTAAAGCACATAAATATATTAGTGCCCCTCTGCACCAATGTTTATGTTTAGATAAATAAAAGGGTTAGCATCAAACCGCTGATATTAAGGATTACAAACGACCTGTCTACAACAGTATATTTTCAAATATATTCAACCAAAAGCCCCAAATAAAGTGGAATCCGTATCCTGGATTCTGCTTCAAGCCATAAGACAAATATTACTTAAAACTAGGAAGTAATTATCAAATCAATCTGGTCAGGATGAAATGTTAATCATAACTGACAAATTTCATTGTTTAAGATCAACAGGAAGGAAGTACAGTTCTTATTATAAACTATTCTAACCCACCTTAGGTAGAGGAAATTAAGTGGCAATCGGAAATTTCATCATGAAAAAGCAAGTCTATAGAGCTATTTCATTTGGTCATACCGGTTTAACTAGTTGTGAACGTAGAATAAATACGTCGTCCAAATATTGAGTCTCCGTAAATCAGACGCTCCTTAGCACCATATTTACATTCAATATTTTAGGTATTCAATAATGTAGTGCACTTAGAACGAGTGAAAAGCTCCAGAAATATGTCACAAATATTGCAGCCGACAAGTATTTGGGGTTGTTTAACCTAAAAATTCCACGCTATTCCGTCGGTGTTTACGAGGAATAGACATATAGTTACATATATGTAAATTTATTGTTTGCTCAAGCTGAGTTCAGTTGGATTGATGAATACATGTACCGTATCACAATAGGGAATATATTAAGATTAGCATTACCTCAGAGTTTGATCCAGTAAGAAAAAATGGTCCAGCACCAGCCCCGATTACAGCACCAGCAGCTACCCCAGCACTTCGAAATACATCTAAAAGGTCATAATGCTTTGCCAATAAATCAGACAAAACGATACATACCCTATCCTTTTTAGGGACAGGCAAAAGGTAATCAAAGCTCCCAACATCACAAATTATACCTTTACCACTTAACCCTTGAGAATTATGAGAATAATTCGAAAATTTGAACACCTCTTAATGTAAGGCCATATGGTGAACTTGTCAAATCAGGACAATCAATAATCGAGCACTTGACAGTTTCGAAACAATCCTTTAAATGATTTTCAAGCGCTGAGAAACATATGCTTAGATATTTAGATACTACCAGACGACACCTCGAGGAGAGAAGGTTTATGAAGCCCGAATAGGTCCATGATATTCAAGGTCAAGGTCGGCACTAAGCGCCTTCTAATTGTCTCAGTCCCTCACTGGACATCTTTTTGATGAGCTTATATAAACTGGATGATATTCTTTGGCTCACTTCTTCCTATTTCCACACATTCTCAGGTCCTTAGCAATGTTCAGTGGGATTCGTCTAGCTACTCAAATACAATAATTCCAGTTAATTTGGTAGTTACATGTGGAACTGTGTACCTAGTAATCTGAGTGAGTTTATCACACGCCGGTAGGGTTTATGGAACTGGCAACTACTATATTGACAGGCAGGAGTTTGACAGGTTCCAATGTGGAATCGTATGAAAAAAATAAATGCATAAACGCTAAAAAAAATGATTGTCTGAAGAAACAAATGAATGACAAACTAGTCATTAATGAAAACGAATGTAAGGATAACGGATAAACAGCGAATATAAGAAACGAGTTAGGAATGAGTTAGTTGTATGTCATAATAAAGTGGAAGGTAAGCTACGTAACGCGCATCAGGTAAAGCTAGTCAAAGAGGAAGATTGTAACCTATGTCTGTCAAGTCTGCTCTCGAAGTTGTCCATTGAACAGGCTGTGCCCGCTTCGGCTAGGAGAGCATTCTGAGTGGGAAAAACTATCAATGTGAAAAGACTAGAGTTCACCTGAGTTTCCAACCTCTGATATGCAATTTTTCAGCAGTTGCCTCGCGGAGCATTATGAGGCTCTGCTACGATGTTTGTATTAGAGTAATTTGGAGTATTTAATGTGTCATTTACAATAAAAAGATCCCTCATCATGCTCCTACAGCACAGCGTATATAATCCCAGGTGTCAGAGTCTATCTTTGCAAAACTTATTTTTAGACATTATCACCGACTTTGCGCCCCTTCTCCATGCTTGTTCGACGTTGTGAATGCTGCGGTAAGGCCGTGCATATATTTAAGTGTCAAAATTTATTCTATCGTGATAGTCTATACCGTCAGTGTAGGCTATCTATGCCTACGATTGCGGTCCACCTGAGTTAGTACCCAAGGTAGATTTCCCTTTTCGGGGTAACTAGGGACTGTGGCTACTTTGTTGACCGTATAGAACAAACGTGATGTTACTGAATAAATGCCCTAGTAAGTATAGGTTCAAGAAACAAAGTGCGACAAATGCCGCACGGGCAAGCCCACGGCGTACAAAAGATTATTCTGCGTTAGTCATTCTTGAATTTAACAACGTTTGATAGGCTGCCTGACAATCAGCAGTCTAAAGTCTAATGTAGAAACTGCTCAGCATGATGAGAGATTTGTCTGTTTCACTGGATCTACAATACAACAAAACTGTCTTCGTATAAAGTGAAAAGTAGCGTCCACGGTTTAGTTCGCACTCTCTGTGGTTTATAGTACCGAATAGACACTGTGGTGTTATTGAAGTAGCGTGTGTCTGTTTTTTAGGAGTAAATATTGTTGCTAACTGTTGATAATGAGAACAATAATTCAACGTTAAAAAGTCCTGAATAAAATAAATAATATGCGATGTAGAAAAGATGCCGTAAATGAGAAAGCACGATTTTACTTTTTCCGTGGTTTCAGCTTATGTGTACATAGATTTGTGTAATAGTAAAGGACAGAACGATTTGCACTGTATTATTCACGATGACCATAACTTATTACTTTCGTAAGAGTTCTACTGTCTAGCACTAATTCACATTCACATAATTCGTTCGAGCTTCCCAGTAGACTTCAATAACTCGTAACTATTGAGTCATTTTTACCTTCATAATAGCTTTTCTATTCTACTCAGATGGAATTGTGACCAGAACCACACATACATGTCTTATTAACATGCCCTCCTATTTCTACGCTTGTGCGTCTTGTACACACTTTTGTGCATATGTCTTTCACTTATTCTTTGATCCATTATCTGTCTCTTTGCCATACTACCCAATATCCACATTCAGTTATACTAACGCTTGTATTCAGTGGTATAACCAGTTGACATGGTTCACTTCTCCAGTCTGCTTCGTTTCCATTATTGTCTATCTGAGGTAACGACTGTGTAGCGAACTACTTTTATCAACAGAACGCGATTGGTGTGATGGAATTAATTGCTATTATAACCAATTGTACCAGTGATTGTTTTACTGTACTTGTTTGTTTAACTGTACCAAAGACATTCTTCCTTCCGTTGGTTGTGACCTTGAACGCGCTTACGCTTGCTCAGTGAATCCACTTGCACTCCTTTGGCAAGGTATTCTTTCGATACCACGAGATCGCAAACAAATACATCTCGACTACAGCCATTATCTGCCTTCTGATATTTGCTTATGGGGATCTTATTGATTACCTGGCACGTAGTCTTCTTGTAGTGGTGATCATATCAACCGCGACTCGACGCCACACTACAACTGTATGAACTACACGTATATAAAATTCATCCCCACTACTTCACCCACATAATTTTCTCTAAAAGTTCCTACCATCTTAAGAATAATATATGGTTATATATCAACAGCCATATAGCATTAACAATTTTATCTTATTTAACAATCCTTATTTCACATGCTGTAACGCTTAACCATTCACTTTATCCCAAACCTGACCACTACTCCGATTATTAATTTAGATGTATAGTTGTAGAACCTGAAGAGAATTTATACAAAAGAATATTCCGCGTGCACATATGAATCTTTTGTTTAATTCTATTATTCTCTAATAATAATTAATTCAATAATTATATACGAGGGTTGCCGGCATGTATATTTTGTCGACATAATCATACCATGTTCCAGATGTTACGATATCACCTTGGTACTGACAAGAGGAACGCAAATCAGCGACGCAATAACAGGACAAAGCTTGGCTGCTTCCCTGTGGTCCAGTCAGCTTACTCGCAGATCAATTCCACGATGGGCTACAGTCAGTCCTTGAGAAATGCACGATGAAAGACTTGACCATTATGATGGTAGACCTAAATGCCAAGGTTGGAATGGACAACACCGGATGTGAAGAAATTATGGGACAACAAAAATGATTAGATTCGCAAACGTATATACTTTCCACAAACTGGACATAGGTAACATCATATTCTCACATAAACGCATACACAAATCCACATTTTTTTCACTAAGTCACACTACACATAACCAGGATGAAATTAAAATTCAAGAAGCACCGGACATAGGGGCGGACAATATCACAAAAATTTAGTACGGCTTTTCTTCGGGATACTAACAGACTCGACAACAATACGTTCCATGCCTTTCAAGATCTACTCTATGGAGAGGGAACTACCATGGAGAACAACTGGAGGGAAATGAATGAGGCAAATACTTCAACATATCATGAGGTTCTCGGCCACAAGATGCGCCATCACAAGGGTGGAATCATTGTCGATACACTGGATAAGATTCAGGAATAAAGGAGCAAGAAGGCGGCAATCAATATCACCCGAACAAGAGCAGAGAAAGCCATGGCACAAGCTGAATGCATAGAGGCAAACAAGCGAGTGAAACGGAACATCAAGCAATGACGGCGAAAAAGGCAGCGAGGGAACAAAACATGATGCAATTGTTTGATTATCAGTATAAGGTTATGATTAAGTTTTGAATTGAGATCATGAACCGATTGATGTTAGGCCACCATTTAAATCCTGGAGTTCTATTGAGAAGACGTGACCAGTGGATCATATGCGCGTTGGGCAGAGATAGGTATCCATTCGGTACAATGGAAGATGGTTGTGCAATTTCGTGGATTGGTTGGGATCAGACATTAATACTGTTGATCTAGAGATTGAGACTTTGCGCGCGAGACTGAAGGCCCTAGGTTCGAATTCCGCGAGCAGGATCGTGGATGTGCTCAGTTGAAGAGTCTCACAATAGAGCGAGACGGACGCTCAGCGCTTCCAGGTTTTCAGTGGTGGTCTAACATCAATCGGTTCATGATCTCAATCGAAAAACTGTATGATTCAAGAAAGAAGCTTGCTGGAAATTATCGTAAACTAGGACGACCAGTGAAAAGCAAGTAAGTAAAAGTAATCACCAACATTGGAAAACAGAGAAATGGGTGGTTAGAGCACTTTAAAAATCCCTTGTATCGACCAGCTCCAGCTCACAGACTCGTTCGAAATAAAGACCTGTGTCAGACAAGGTTTCTCACTCTGACTCTTTCCTTTTCTCCTGGTGATCGACTGGATCATGAAGACGTCAACATCTAAGGGAAGCATGGGATACAGTAAATAACTAGGATGTAGCTGGACGATCTAGACATCACAGATGATCTGGCTTTTCTATTGCATACGCAACAACAAATGTGGGAAAAAATGGCCAGTGTAGCAGCAGTCTCAGTAGCTGTGGGTTTTAACATACACAAACGAAAAAGCAAGATTCTCCGATACAACACAACATGCACCACTCAAAACATACTTGACGGAGATTTGGAGAACGTAAAAACCTTTGCATGTCTGTGCAGCATCATTGATGAACACGATGGACCTGATGCATATGTGAAGGCACGGATCGGCAAAGCAAGAGTAGCACATCTACAATTGAAGAACATCTGCAACTCAAAACAACTGTCTGTCAACCAAAACCAAGGTCAGAATTTTCAATACAAATGTCAAGACAGTTTTACTGTATGGGACAGAAACGTGGAGAACTACGAAAGCCATCATCCAGAAGATACAAGTGTTTATTAACAGTTGTCTACGCAAAATACTTTGGATCCGTTGACCAAACACTATCAGCAACAACCTTCTATGAGAGAGAACAAACCAGATCTCAGTGAAGGAAGAAATCAGGAAGAAGTGCTGGAAGTGGACAGGACACACATTGAGGAAAACACCCAACTGCGTCACAAGGCAAACTCTTACATGAAATTCTCAAGGCCAAAGAAAATAGAATTATCAAGGAACACATTACGCTGAGAAACGGAGACAGACACGAGAAAAATGAACAAAAATTGGATAGAACTGGAAAGGAAGGCCCAAGACAGAGTGTGTTGGAGAATGCTTGTCGGTGGCCTATGCTCCATTGAGGGCAACAGTCGTTAGTAAGTAGCGC